GAATAGCTTTGCTTTTGTACTCCAACAAGATCTCATCACTTCTCAACACACACAGAAACCGAACAAATAGATTAGGTCTTAAATTAGTACCGGAGTTTAGGATCTCTTGTTGCAATAATGCTGGGGTCAAGCAATAAGCTCCAATGCTAAACTCTTTGATCCAAGACTCTTTCACACCGTATTCCTTCATAACCCAAAACTCCAATCGTTCACCGTAATTACCATGAAACGCCGTTGCTGAGAGACAACCTCGTACGACCATCAGTTGACGGAAACACTTGTCTGAACCGCAATGACAGTCGGGTTTCGGTATCTCGTAGAATCGTTCGGTCTCGAGATCGAAGGATATAAGCAAGGTAGCCGTGGTGTTCTTGTTAGGCTTTGTAAGCCAATGGAATCTCCCGTTGACCAAAGCCTTGGATTTCGAATGAATAAAACGATATGGTATGGCTCCTAGACTTCTCCAACTAGGGCTTCCGAGTGTCAGGATCTGAACCTCTGACTGAGTTGAAGATATCGATGTAGATGTGGTACTTGAATCGACTCTTCTCAATTGTCTTCGAAACACTACCTGGATCACCTTGTATTGCTTTGTGGTTCGATGAAAACCGAACCCTAAATTCCCCACTAGTGAAGGGTACTTGACCAATTTGGGGAGCTCGATGCAAAGCCTGGTAAAAGGGTTGCAAATGAATACCCTCCGTGATGCATCATGCATGCAAAGCAATCCATTGCATGAATCTATCGAATACATGGGCGTAGTACGATAATTAATGGCCGGAAGCTTCTTTGAGATCACTTCTCCTTCTCTATGATCGGAGAAATCTATGAAGTAGCGTTGGCCGGGGATTGGCCAGTTTCTTTCCAAGATGAAGCTCGGATCGTTTCCGGCAGCCTCGTCCAAGTGCTTGCTAATGAGAAATGGATCATGTATTAGGGTTCGCCAGCCTCGGCAGACCAGCTTTGAACTCAACAAAGACGTGAAGGGAAGCCTGGATAGTATATTGACGACGACTTCCCGAGGAAGACGATCCATCATGTTTGCTGGCTGCTGCTGGTTAGCCTTTCTTCAACAGTTTGCTCTCATTTGTGCGTGATTCCTCCATCATTAACGACGACAAATAAGCAATATATTATTATTATACATTGGCGATCGAATCAAAGTTGATGTTGATTCGAAAACAATTTATTATAACAAAGTGAAAGTGATTGAATATCGATGATAATGTAATGACATAGTGATTCCACTACGGCAAGTTGTGTTTCTGATATACCAACGCGTGAGAGAAATATAATTCAATCGCTAATTCAACGATGATAGTGTAAAGTATATAAATAAATGAGTTTGTAATATATGAATAATCTAGTGATATTTTATAATTTGTAATTGTAACACCCAACTCGTATTCGATCCGAATACGAGTCTGAGATATCACATTGACTTTTTGAAACTATATTCTTGTAAGATAGTAGAACATTTGAACTTATATTAAGAAAATATGATAATATATTGTTGAATCATGTTTGTTATAACCAATTTAAGAAAAATATGCGTTTTTATGAATAATAAAATATGGTATAAACAGTACCGTGAACATTAATGAACAGTACTATGAACAATAGTGAACAGTACCGTAAACAATACCGAATGTTAAAATTTTTCCAGATTGCTTCAGGGGTATCGATACCCCTGCTACATATCATATAAAACATATCATATCATATAAAACATATATCATTTCTGTTACATATACCCACATGCACATATATCCTTATCAACACGTTTAACATTTCACATTCATTATCATTAATCATTGTAATTTAACAATCTTATACCTAACATATCATGCATTAACCAAACAATACACCATTACATAAATCATGTGATCTATTTCATATAACAAATCATATATACATATCATATTCAGTATATATATTAAATCTCTTTATTAGCCCATGTACATTGTTGAGAACTAAAGGTATGCGAGTACATTGAGGTTGTGCACTAATGTTGTCACCACAGCTCGTATAAGTCCCACTGAGTGGCATATGAAATTTGTCCCGAATGACCACTATATTGTCCCGAAGGACCACTGTATTGTCCCGAATGACCACTGTAACCCTCGACTCTTGGCATGCCAACTATACCTATAGCTCTCGTATCATATAACATGGGTATTTTTCTTATGCTTCATATATTCATGTACTCATATCATTGCTCTTATGATCACATATCATATGTGCATATAATCACGTAATTTACTTTCATGTAATTCATGTCACTTTTCATATGATTTCATATTCGTATGTCACATAGCTCGTATCACTTTGCATGGTTTCACATAAACATATATATCATATCTTGTTCACATATACTTCCCATATAACTCATATCATTTGATTCAAGTCTTATTCTTATATCATCATATATATATCATCTATGTTTATTCACTTAATCTCATATGTTCATATATCACATAGCTTATCACGCTAACATGTATTCACACAATTCATTTAACATAGGCAATAATGTATATATCACGTACATTCATGCCACATAAGCATCATATCAATCACAAATCGAATAATATCTTAGGAGTCACTTCTTACCACAGTAACCCCGTCATTGGCAAGCCAATGTTTGTTCAATAACCTAAGTACAAATTAAATTGCACTCACCTTAGCCTTGTTTTGATTCGATCCTAATTCTTTTATTGTTCCGGAACTTATTTAGGCTCAATATCTACATAAACATAATTTCCGAAACGATTATCAAAAGCATAAACCTTATAACTTGATGTTAATAACTTAAGCTAGTTTAATGAACCAAAATTCCATTTTTCTTTTGGGGGTATCGATACCTCCCCCTAGGGTATCGGTACCCTTATTGAAATCTATAAATTTTTGCCCAGAAATCACTGTTCATGCACGAAAATTCACTATTTCCAACTTCAATTCTTCATGTTTCATTCCCTTTCATATTCTTAACTCAAATATACATACTTAAACCACTTTATATTCATTTATATCATCTTAAACCTCAAAATCTTCTCCTCTTTATGAACTTCAAGAATCATACCCAATTTTCAACATGTTTCAAATCAAATTCTAACACTTAATACTTCTTAATTAAGCTAATGGCAAGTCAAATTCAACTTATCAACTCTATTTCAAGATTTCACTCAAGAACTCCAAATCTTTAATCTTCTCTAACTCCTTTATCTTTTGATTTTAAGATAACCTAAGCTTTCCTTAAGCTTAGTTATCATCTAATGATCAAAACTCAACCATAAAATCAACAAATAATTAACTAACAAAGAAACTCACCTTTGCCTTTGAGGGTTCACGGTGAAGAAGAAAACCAGAAGAAGAAGAAGAGTTTTCCAGATACTCTCCCCCCCAACGTGTTTCTCTCTTCTTAAAGGAAAGAAAAATATCTTTCTTGTCAAATGACCATTTTGTCATTTAATTATTTGGATAATTACTAACAACTTTCAGGAAATATCCCCAAATAAATCATTGAACTATTCAACTAGTCTACTTTAATCACCAAATTCTAAAATTTTATAATTTAGTCACTAACCCGGTATTGAGGATATTACAGTAATAGTTGAGGAACTCAACAAAACAACATAACATTATATAGTTGGAGAATCATTTTATAACTTTTTAATAGTCAAAACACATAACAAAGCATCTCCTTATAAATCAAGTATCATTTAATATTTTACCTTTAGTTTAAATATTATTTTATAATATATTAATATATTATTATAATATTTTTAATTTATATTATGATTAATATATTTCCATGAAATAATATAATTAATTTCAATTATAATTTAATCTAATACCATTTTTCATAGATATAATAAATTTCTAGCTTGATACAATAATATCACTAGATAATATTATTATTGTGTAGGAATACACGAAGCAGAGAAAAGAAAATATTGTATATATTACCTACTGGTATATATAAATAAGGTGCAGCAAATTACAATCTAAGTCCCTATTAGTGTGGGAGGAGCCTACACCATAATTTTTTAGGTTTAATTGTTTCTCAAGTCCCTATTAGTTTTAAAACTAAATAAATTAATTAATGATCTACCAAATTTTTATATTCAATTACTTCTATTAGTTTTAAAATTAGATAAATTAAGTTTTACCCTCATTTTTTTCTGGTTTAAATATATCTAGAATAATTATCAATTTTGAAATTAGGAAAATTTAGCCATATATTTTTTTTCTCTTGTTTAAATATTTCTTAGATCTTATCAATTTTGAGATTAAACAAATTCTACTATAATTCTTTTTTAATAATCTAATTATAATGTAGTATATGCTCATAATCGTTCTTAATCATTGACAACACGTACAGTTTTGAACAAAAGAAAAAAGGTGAGAAATCCTCTTTTCGACTCTGACTCTTTCTCTTTAGTTATTGCTTTTCTGCACATATATACCCTGCAAACGTAGCTGCTCAAATTCAAGACTTTTAAAAAAACAACATTCCTCTTAACCACTAAGGTTAGTGGCAAATCTAGAAATATTTTTAAGGTGGGCACACATGCATTAATAACACAAAAATTTCAAATAGAGTGTGCACAAATAAACTTTTAAGATAGACGCAATCAATAAAATAAGTAGTTACTCGAATAAAACTCAAATTTTAAGATAGATATATGCCCACCCTGAAAATAGAGTAAATCCGCCGTTGATGGAAGCCAGTACTTAATGTATTCAATTACATTATAATTTAATTTTTTATAGTTTTAAATTGATGGCTTGATAATTAAATCATAACCCGTCATTTTATTATTATCTATATTTCGTCTTGATTGATTTCGTATTTGATTACTATACATAATAACATAGGATAAATTACACTGATAGTCACCGAACTTTTAAGGCACTTTTACTTTGGTCACCAAACTTAAGTGATTTCAGTAACCACCGTCGTAGCTTACCAGAATTAACTGTCGAGCCGACATGAATAACTATTTTGAAGCAATTACGCATTTCCAGAAACCTAACTCCTTGAACGTTTCATACTGAGGATCATAAAGAACAAGAGCGCTGCTTAAGAACTCCAACAAGATCTCACCACTTTTCAACACGCATAGAACTTGAACTAGTAAATTAGGGTTCGAATATCTCAATTGCCGAATCTCTCGTTGGGCGATTAACGTCGGGGGCAAGTAAGTTCCGATGGTAAACTCTTTGATCCAAGACTCTTTCACACCATATTCCTTTATAACCCAAATTTCCGATCGTTCATCGTCACCATGAAACGCACCGGCCGACGGACAACCTCGTACGACCGTCAGTTGACGAAAACACATGTCAGAGGCGCAACAACAATCAGCTTTCGTCACCTCCTGGAACTGCTCGGTTTCAAGATCAAACGATATAAGCAAGCTAGCTTTGGTATACTTGTTCGGCCTCGAAAGCCAATGGAACCTGCCATTGACAAATGTCTTCGATCTCGATGGATAAAAATGATAAGGTACGGTCCCTAAATTTCTCCAAAAAGGGGTCCCGATAGTTAGAATCTGAACCTCCGATTGAACACAAGCTGTTGTTCTCGGTAATCTTCTTTGCAGCACTATCTAGATCACCTTGTATTGTTTTGTGGTTCGATGAAAACCGAACCACAAATGCCCCACCACTGTGGGACACTTGACCGGTTTGCGGAGCTTGACGTACACCCTAGTGAAAGGGTTGCAAATGAACACGGTTCGCGATGTATCATGCAAGCAAAGCAACCCATCACAGGAATCTACCAAATGCATGGTCGTAGGAAAACCGGGGAGCTTCTTTGAGATCATTTTTCCTTCACTATGATCGAAGAAATCTATGAAGTAGCGTTGGTCGGGGATAGTCCTAATGCTTTCCAATACGAAGCTCGGATCATTGCCGGCAGCCTCATCCAAGTGCTTTCTAATAAGAAACGGATCTTGTATTAGGGTTCGCCAGGCTCGACAAACCAGCTTTGAATTCAGCAAAGATGTTAAGGGAAGCAAGGATAGTATGTTGACGATGATTTCTCGAGGAAGACGATCCGTCATGTTTGCTTCCGGCTGGCCTTTCCTCATCTCTTTCATGGTTGATTTTTCTTCCATCATTAACAAAGACGAATAATACTGTAATAGAATATGTACATTATATATACTTTTGGCGATCAAAACAAAGTTGAATGATTTGACGTTGAATACAAATTAAAATGAGGAAGTGAAGGTGATAAATGACAATGTAACTCTACGGCAAGTTGTGATTATGATATGCCAACATGTGTTTCTCTATACCCTTTACATAGATAAGGTGCATCCATTGATCACATGATAGCTCTAAAATCGCTATATGTGAATAAAGATCTATTTTATCTTTATAAAAGTAATGAACGTTTACTTGATATTGAAGTATCTTATTTTATTGGCATTTGAAAGATTGAGGTAAGGGATTTCGATACATAGTAGTGTAAATAAATAAAGTATTTAATTAATTGTTTATAAATTTTTGTATAATATTTATTTATTAAATTAAATAAATGAGTATGAATAAAAGTTTTATATTCAATTAACTAACAAACAAACACAAATAGGTGTGTTTAGTTTGTTTATGTTGACGAACAAGCTCGTTTATAAACTCGTTTATAAAATCTTTTATCGATTCGTTTATAAGTTTGCTTATTCGATTCTCCTTTCCTTTTATATTTTACATTTTAAATATTGTGTGAAGATAGTGATTAAATTGACTCTTTTTCCTATATTTAGGTGTATGAAAGTATTTTAATGAGATTCTTGCTAAAGATTTCGATCTTGTTTGTGTTCTGGCTTTCAATGAAACATACTTTCACCTTTCAAAAAAAATAAAATAAAAGAAAAAATTGAACACACAATGAATTTTTTAGTTCAAATTATGAATCTTAAGGAATTTAAGGAGTTGTTTAACCAATTGACCAAATGTGTTTGTTCTTATATTTTTTTAATTAAAACCTTATCCCATTAAATTATTTTATTAAATTATTTAACGAAGCAACATGTTATGTATATTATTTTTTTATATCATTCTAAAACCATATTATTTTCATATATTTTAAATTTTCAAATGATTTATGCAGCATGTTTTAATTAATTTGATAGTTATTTTATTTTAACTTAATTGAAATCAATTTACTTAGAAATTAAAAAAAAACATTTTTTTATTATATATATATATCCAAAAAGGGTAAGTGGTCAGCGAGCAACTCGTTCAAAAAGTTGGCACCTCAATTCCCGCACTTTTCCTTTCAACTGAAAACTAAATTCCTCCTTTCCAAAAACTCTCCTCGCCAAGCACTCGCACACACAGACACCCACACTAATGGCTACTAATCTCGTTGAAACCTACGCATGCGCCCCCTCCACGGAACGTGGCCGTGGGATTCTAATCTCCGGTAATCCAAAATCCAATTCGATCCTTTATTGCAACGCAAGATCCGTCGTCATTCGTTACCTCGACCGTCCTCTCGACGTCGCCGTTTACGGTGAGCACAGTTATCCCGTCACCGTAGCTCGTTACTCCCCCAACGGCGAGTGGATCGCCTCCGCTGACGTCTCTGGAGTCATACGAATCTGGGGGACGCATAACGATTTCGTTTTGAAGAATGAGTTCAAGGTCCTTTCGGGTCGGATCGATGATCTACAGTGGTCTCCGGACGGGTTGAGGATCGTTGCCTGTGGCGATGGAAAAGGAAAGTCGTTTGTTCGCGCTTTTATGTCAGTGCTGTTGTTTGAATTGAAATTTGTTTAAGAGAATATGAAGATGGTTTAGATTTTGATTAGAGGTTTTTTGTGATGTTGAAATTTTGAAGGTGGGATTCGGGGTCAACAGTGGGGGATTTTGATGGGCACTCGAAGAGGGTGCTAAGTTGTCATTTTAAACCGACGAGGCCGTTTCGAATTGCAAGTTGTGGAGAAGATTTCTTGGTGAATTTTTATGAAGGTCCACCCTTCAAGTTCAAGTTATCTCACCGGTAGGTATTACTGTTTATCTATAATGGAAGTCATTATATGGAGCTAACAAATAATTATAGAACTTGTCGCGGCTATTTATCGCTTCATTTTGAGAATAATCTTCTTCTCGTTCCTAAGGTTTGTCTAAACAGAAGTGTGCACTACAGAATGAACACTGCTTAGGGAATTATAAGTTGTTTTAGGAAAATAGCTTATCAACTGGTTCGTAAGATTTATGTTAGTTTTAGTATTATTCAAGGATTTGTTTTATGATTTGCAGGGGGCATTCAAATTTCGTCAACTGCATTAGATTTTCACCAGATGGCAGCAAACTAATTAGCGTAAGCTCAGATAAGAAGGGTTTAATATATGATGCAAAGAGTGGTGAAACAATGGGAGCACTGTCCAGTGAAGATGGTCATACAGGTAGCATTTATGCTGTTAGCTGGAGCGGAGATAGTAAACATGTAAGCACCTGGTTGATCATTTGATTTAGTTGCTTTAATAAGGACCATTGCTCTGTCAAAATAAATAAATGAGGTCCATTGCTTCTTGAAAGAGCAATATTCAATGCAATTGTGCGTCTGATTACTACTCTTTCTTTCGTGGAACTTCTTTACACCCAATTGCAAGTTAACAGGTTTTGAATTTGTTCTTCACCAAATTGGCTTGGTTTCATGCATGTGCATGCATGTTTTATGCCATTTCAAATTGTGGGTATATTTATATGCATCCTTGTTGAGAATTCCAATTTTTTTAAAACCTATGTTTGACCACTTTCTGAATTTAGGCTAGAGAGTTGACAAGCTGGGGATAATGGAGCAAAATAATTTTTTTTTTGGAGGGTAATACCATCTTATGCATTCGGGAACCTTTGGGCATATTGCATTTTCAGAAAGTGTCGCACCTCATAAAAGTGTTCAAACTTTTTCAGTTTTTCTTTAATGAAGTGAGAAAGCCAGCATTGTGTTATTGATTTAGCCCGAAAGTAGAAGGGGAAAAGCAACCTATGATTGTCCCTTATCTGCAGTTTAGAGTGAGGAGTTGAGCTATCCATTAATCTTTCGGTTTCCCTTATAATTATTTTCAGGCTAAAAATGAAGATGTATAATGTTCCTTTAAATCCGTGCATGGTTGTTTAAGCATAATCTGTGTGTGGAAGTGCCAAGTCAATTTACTTTGAAGCTAGTCATTTTCTGTAAACTGAAAACTTGGCAGTGTCCTTTATCTTCCTTAAGTTCTCAATTGCGTTTAATTTATTTAGCAAACAAAGATGTCAGTTACAGTCTTGCATTTATTCTGTTTTAAAGTTTAACACTAAGAGCACGAGAGATTCCTAAGAGTTGTGTTTTCATCACAATTGACATGTTTTCCTCAATGAGTATATGTCAACAACACCAAGCACTTTCTGTTACTTTCTTCACTTAACTACATCCAACCACTTTTTTTTATCTAAACATCCAACGTCTTAATTGCAATCATGTGTTTCCTACTTATCTGCCAATTACTTTATTGATTAAATCAGGTAATTACTGTTTCTGCTGACAAGACTGCCAAGATATGGGAGATATTTGAGGATGGTACGGGAAAAGTGACGAAAACATTGGGATGCACTGGATCTGGTGGAGTGGAGGACATGCTTGTTGGATGTCTCTGGCAGAATGATCATATCATTACAGTTTCCCTTTCTGGCACCATTAACTTGTACTCTGCTAGTGATCTTGATAGACAACCATTATGTTTGTCTGGACATATGAAGAACGTAAATACATTAACTCTACTCGAAAGCGACGAAAAGACGATTTTATCCAGCAGCTTCGATGGATATATTTTTAGATGGATTCCAGGGACAGGATACAGTGGCAAATTAAAGAGGAAGGATGATTCTCAAATTAAATGTTTGGTTGCGTTCAAAGAAGAGATAATGACATCTGGATACAACAACAAGGTAAACTTATACCACAAAAACATTGCATTTTATTATTGTTAACAATGTATGCTCTAATAATCTCAGTCATTTTGTGTAAAATCCTTTTTGTTATTCAACATTGATATCATCTCTACCTAGATAAGTACTTTGATGGATTCATATTAACCGTGAACACTTTGCACCCTTTATATAGCTTGAATACAAGTTGTCTTTTCTGTTAACCATTCCTCAGTTAATTTCAGGTATGGAGAATTTCTCTAGATCAAGAAAAATCTGAGCAGGCAGAACATATAGATGTCGGCAGTCAGCCAAAGGACTTGAGCCAGGCCATTAATTCCCCTGTGCTGGCTTTAGTTTCAACTGATTCTGGAGTTCTATTGCTTAAGGATCTGCAAGTACTTTCAAACATCAACCTTGGGTTTGCAGTGACAGCATCTGTTATTGCACCTGATGGAAGTGAGGCTATTGTGGGGGGCCAGGATGGTAAGTTGCATATATATTCTGTCTCAGGTGATTCTCTTAAAGAAGAAGCAACCCTTGAGAAGCATAGAGGTCCAATTAGCGTACTACAGTATTCACCAGATTTTTCCATGTTTGCTTCCGCTGATCTAAACCGTGAAGCAGTTGTTTGGGATCGTACCTCCAAAGAGGTAACTTGAACTTCAAATTGGTTCTAATACATCCTAGCCATGCAACAAAACTTGTATGGTAACTAGATTCATTCCTTTTTTTAATGTACGCTTGGGCTTAACAACCCTTTTGTTCTTTCCTTATTGGACACTCTGCTTGACATTCCTAAATGTCAAAAGTAAATTGGGGAATACATATCAGTTAAGAGAGATGGTTTCCTCCTTAACAAGAGTGGATGCTTCAAACAGCTTTACCAAGAGTAATGTCCTAGATAATTATGGGATTCAGATCCATCAGTCATATATAATGAGGGATATTACTCCTGGTCCTGGATAATCAGCCTTTTTTATGGTCATCCTCTAGTTTCTCAGTTATCTGGTTGTTTATGTTTGATTTTGGCATCAACTCCAGTTCCTGGCATGAAGCATCTTGCTATGCAAGGATGTGAACCAAAAGTTCTCAGCTCTCTAAATTTGCACTTATTACGAGCCTACTATGATATTATGAAACTGGTTTTTTTTTTGTTTATGATCCCTTGAATATCATCACGAATAGTACAACAAAAATTTCTGATTACATTGAGCAGCAAGATATATTAAAAGTGCTTTTAGCAGTGGACTGGATGTTTTAGCCATATTTTGCCTTCTAGCTAAAATATTGTTTCCCAATTGTTTTGCAGGTGAAGCTTAATAACATGTTGTTCCACACGGCTCGTATCAATTGTCTTGCTTGGTCTCCTAATAGCACCATGGTGGCTACGGGATCACTAGACACTAATGTAATCATATATGAAATTGCGAAACCTGCTTCCAACCGCATAACCGTAAAGCATGCTCATCCTGGTGGAGTTTATGGTTTGGTTTTTATTGATGACTGCACTGTGGCTAGTTCAGGGGAGGATGCCTGCATCCGTGTTTGGAAGATAGTGCAGTAATATGCATATGACACGAATAATGCAGGTTAGATCTTTAAACTTGGTGAATGTACATTCATTTACTTTCTTATTTTTAGATATTGGTTGACCTGTGAATATGGCGACGAGAAAAAAAGAAACTTTATGTTGCATGCAAAGAATTCAGTTCTTATGCATTAAAATAAGCTGTATTTTGCACAAACTACTACATGAACATAGTTTTCTGTTTTGTTTTAATTTGAGCCTAATAATAAGAAAATTAGGAAAAGGGGCATGACTTTTCTATAACTGTATTTCAGGACACAATTTCCTTTCTCAGCTATTTTGCCAAAGAATAAAATGAAAGCAAAAAGAGCAGGTAAGCAGCTTCATGAAGGGTTTTTGTGAAACAGGTTTGCACATATATATATAAAATCCAGTTACATGGTATATAATTCTTTAGTTTTACACTTATTTAATACCATTGGATTAATAATGGCTGAGATACACAGTTAAAAATGAGGAGAGATGTGGATAATGGGAATGCACAAAATTTCAATCTCAGCCATTGATTTTGTTTAATCCAATGGTTATATTTTAGTGTAAAACTAAAGATTTTTATACCGTGTAAATGGATACTAACCAATATATATATATCCAATGCATTGGAAATGATGACTGAAGTTTTCAACTATTGGATGTAATACTGAATCTCAAGAGACAAAGGCTAGTTGTGACTGCATTGATTCAAATTCCCAGTCAATTAGCTGCTGTGGAGAGTGGATTATTGGGGCACCAAGAGGGCAAAGCTGCAGTATGAAATAAAGCAGTTGATTATTGATATTTCAAGAGGAAAAAGAAAAACTCATTCAAAATCTTTTATTTCATTTTGGTTTCTTTCACATGGAATTTGGTTCTTTCTATTGATTCCTTCTTATTCAAATTTCCAACATTTTCAAGTTCTTTTGGACTCATTGGCTCATGAAGATGTGATTATTACATTGTTTGATTTGTGGAACAATGAAGAATGTTAAATTCTTTCTTCAAATTCACTTTGCAGTTCTTTAGTGAAATTCATGCCTCCTAAAATTCCACACGAGAAAGAGTTTATTCAGGTAAGATTCCACTGAGTAAATAACATAAACTCAAAGATGAATGGTGTTAAACAACAGCATGCAAATGGCAGCTCAATAAGAAGTTCCCCTTACTCATTGTAGGCTTCTGGGTTGCTTTACCATTAGTACTGACCCCAAAACCAACAACTTAGACCAAATTCGCTTGTTTTCTCCCCTCAATTCTCGTACTTCGTATGAAAATCACACATCTCATCTGATGGTATTCTTTAGAGCCTTTCGCAGAACTCGGATGTAAGGTCGATGTGAGATATTCACCTTTTTAGTTCACATCCCTTCATGCACTGATTAGATGGCAAATTCCAGTCGTCGAGAAGGTTTATCATAGTTTCCACGAATTTCTTTGCTTGTGGTTCAGGCTTCAAGACATTCACATCGCCCCATTGAGAGCGAGGATCTACCCACCAGCTTTGCCGGCCAGTGCACCATGCCCCTGGGGCAGGTTTCGCCTTCCTTGTGGATCTTTTTGTCAACCATGCCCAGCACAGGATCATCCTTTTGAAATGGCCTTGCAAATGCTGCTCCGCTTTGAGCCATTTGATCATAATCAGAAATTTCGAGAAAGTGGGGTTCCGTCTTCGAAGTACTGTCCCAGATCATATATCATAAATCACTGTTCACGGTAGTGTTCTTGAACTCCGGTGAATTGCAAATGACAGAATGGAAGTAACTTTCTTCGGATAACATAAAATTGTTAAAATACATCAGAAGGGTCCGGGGTAGATTATCCCACCCGAAGAAACAAAATTCCAGAAAGGATCTGCTTAAGACAACCCATGGAGAACCTGCAATTCAATACCAAACTGTAAATGAGTGTAGCATAGCTAGAGAAATGAAGAGATATTTTTTATAATAAAAAAATGAAAAGTTAACAGATAATACAGATTGTAGACATTGCCTGTGAATACTTTAAAAGCATCAGGCATCGGTTGTTTCTGCATAGCATGGAAAATTGTGGTTCTCCTAGCTAGGTAAAGCCCTGGGTCAACCACAATATGGCTCGATCCATTGATCTCTGCATAAAAAAGAGACAATGCGATTTAGATTAAATTATGAATGTGCAGCAGAAGGATCTACAGATCTCATAAAAGAGTTTCGCCTACTCTATCCCCCCAAGGTTATTAGTATGATCAAGGAAATTGGGGTCCCTCCTAACCGAGGAGAACACGTGAGACATCTGAGATACGAATCAAGAAAGGGTTAGACGGTAGATACAATTAAGAACAACAGAAACATAGGTGAAAGTCCAAAGTAGCATGATAAGAGGAAAATATGCATAGTGCATAAGCAAATAACGTGCATAGGTTGGTTGGCACCTTACCTCATTTAAGGTATTTCTATACCGAGCTAGGGAAAAACAAATAACCGGAAGACAACGGATAGAGGACTTACAGCCTAGTAGGAACTAATCTTAGGAAATTAAACTTCAAGAACATTGTGGTATGATATATAAGTGGATTATAGACCTCAGCTGTCTAGTTGTAAAAGTGTTACTTTGTCTACACTCTGCACCCAAGCATGATAAAATAAGCATAGAATATCAGAACTTATAGCACTTTCAGCTCCACAAAACTGATATTTACACATATATTCATTACTTCAAAGGATAGTAAGCCACTTTCTTTCCTTCTAACCTACTAAACCTTAAAATACATAGCAACCAACCAATCTTTTAATAATTGAGTCACAAGTTAACTACTTTTTGCGCCCTTAAATAGGTTGTAATGATAAGATTTTCAGCTACCTCGAGTCGTAATGGTACGAGGAAAATGGCACTTCATCCAAAATGCCAAAGGGCATTAGCTTAAGTATCTAACTTCACATGTCAAACAACCAACAATTGCTGAACTGGTGCACCGATATCAATGTCGGGTCATCTCCAAAACATGTCTGAAAGTGAAACATAAGGGATACACCTACGACTGCTCTATCAACGTAACAAATATTTTAACAGGTAGAAATACGGTTCAACAGTGGCTTCCGTTCACTAAACTAAAGGTTTCACCAAAAATATGCAGATTTAGACCCAAAAGTAAAGTGTAGGACTGAAACCCCATGAACCATCAATATGGCTCGAGAACTCATAAGTGTCGCGTTCATTTATATTACAAACTTTCTAACCATTCAGCTCCCAATTTGATACCCTCAATGTTATATTGTTATGTATGAGCGATTATGCAGCACAACCAAATTTGTCATATGCTTGATAGCTTTCCTTCAATAGTGTACATCATTCCTTCAACTTTTAGACAGAAAGAAATTTTGTAAGCTTGGAAGCATTGCACCAAATTTTCAATAGAACCAATGCAGATTCATTCAAATTTCAAGTAATTCCAACCAAATCAAGAACTTGAAATTTCTCTAAATCAAAAAAAAAAAACCTCAATTCTCTAAGCTACTCCACACAGAAGAAACGAAAGAACTGAAGCCACTTACCATCTTGAGTAACCAAAGGATAATCCAAAGCACTCAGAGCAACCACGATCAAGCTTCATCAACATAGCATCAGCACGCAACGTGGCGGCGATGTGTGTAGAACCCATATAAGAAAACATATCAGGCTCGCCTATAACATCCACATTCTCAAAGCTCCTAATAGCAGGCACATATTTCAAAGCCAAAGCCAACCTATATATTTCCTCATCAGAAGCGTCAGCTCCAAGTTGCAACAAGTATCGATTCCTGGGATGATAGACAGCAAGCAGTGGCCTAAAGATCCGATCTTTATCACCTTTTCCACCAAATAAATAGTACCCAAAAGCTGGTGGGTAATGAAGGCCATTTTGAACTGGTGAAGGGAAAGGTCTAGGGGAATTGAATGGAGATTGAGTAAAGGGAGAGGAGGAGAATGGAGAATAGTGTTGTTGAAAAGAGAATGACAAGCCATTTCTTTTCAGCTCCCATAGTCAAAAAAACAAATAAGCTCTTCAAAAATGAAAAATTGTAACTTCTGATTCAAAGATTGAATATTTCAGCATATGGGTTTATTGATCATCAAATGAGGAACTTTGGGTTGAATTTGGGTTTTGAACTATGTTTTAGGAAATTTGTAGTTGGGGGTCTTTGATTTCTGTAGACTTAACTCCATTGTTGATTATGAATTCTCGACCAAATAGTAGAATTTCTTATTCTGCTGAATTATCTCTCTATCTAATGTCAATAAAAACAATTAAAACTCCTTTTCTCTGTTCTGTAATTCTCAGTTTGTTTGATAAAATTAAATGTTAGGAGCTGACCTTGAGGAGCTAATTAGGGTTATGATTTTCATTTTCTTTTCTCAAAGATTTGATTTTGATAATTAGATCAATCTTAATTCACTTAAATGATTTCTTCCCAATTAATTAAGTTTCCTTTTACCAGCTTAACATGCATGAAAGCATCAGCCAACGTCAAGGTAAATCTCGTAACTCATTTTCACTTGGACGACCGTATCTTCCGTCAAATAGGATAATACATACGAGTAAAATATCAAAGTGCTACCGGATAAGTAGTGTTCTGCAATAACATAGTATCAAGGGCCGGGTAAGCATAAACTTGTCCTTGCTGGGATTAATGCATCATGTTTCTCTGTCCAGTAGCCATCGTCGATGCAGGTATTTACAGTAGATCGGCTTAAATCTTTCTCTTAGAACATCAATATAAATGAACGTCTTGCTGCTGGAGCAGGTATTCAGGGTTTGCCTTCGAGGATTAATCATAATTATAAAACAAGAAAGTACTTTTGAACTGTCAAATTATCCTTGTTCGTTAAGAGATTTTTTTTAAGTAGTTTGTTAAGAGATTCCAATCAAATACATTGGACATGATTTCAGAAAGAAGCTTGAAACTGCAACTTGGAAGTGGCTAAATAACATTCTTAAGCACATAATGGAAATTCAAATGAAACTATTTCTATTTGAATTGTACGCATGCTGCAAAACCTGCTGAATTTTTGGCTGATCTTTTATTTCCATTTGACTACAGTTCTGCTGACAGTGTCTTCTCAGAAAAAGAATCGATGCTCTTGTTGAAGCATTCTCAACACCGTCATCAGCAATTCCTAATCCACTGTCACAATTTAGACTTCTTTTGTGTGTGTTTTCCATACAAATCTTGCTAATTTCTTTGTTTCTTTTGCTTTGGGTGGCTGTGTGTACCTGTACCTGTGCATGTATTCAGAATCATCCTAACTTCTGTTCCATTTAATCGATTGAAAAAATGGTTAACTAGGCTTCTC